CCCCCCCCCCCTCATTTGTTATACAATAATTTACTAAAGTCAAAAGTTTTGAAAAACACGGAAAAAAGACGACGATAAACAGCAGCAGCAACAACAAAAAACTCAACAAAATTATCAGACATTGAACCGGTGAAACCACTGATTGAGTTAAAGTAAAATAAGTTTTATTTTTTAGCAGTCATACAACAGTTATTGCTTAAGAACAGTTTCATACTATATAAAAGAAGAAAAACTTTTCAATTAAAACTGTTATATGCTAAAAAATTAACAGCGATACTATGCTCTCTTCTTCTTTTTCAAACTGTTTATCAGCAAACAATGCCAACAGCAATAGCAACAATATCAACAGCAAAAGCAGTATTTGGAAAAACTTAGTAAAACTGTTTCAGACTTAAATAAGTTAAATTAATTAAACATTTTAAATTTTTAGGTCGTTTGAAATGTGAAGAAGAAGTAAAAAAAACAGAAACAAAAAAGGCGACAGTAATCAAACAGTCATCTTCAGAAAGCAGCAGTATCGTCAATGATCCGTGTAACGATCCTCGGTTATTGAACTGTAAAGCAGAAATTTTGTCGGCTATTCGGAACCAGGAAAAAATTAACTTTTGCGCATTGCCAAGCGGCGAAGTTTTGTTCTTCGCCTTCCTTTTTTTTTTTTTTTTTTTTTTTTTGCTTTGCAAATGGATCAGAAATTGAACTTATTGCTGTTAGACTAATGATGTGTGAGAAGGTATCTATTCATTAAAACCAATGATTTGACGATTGAGAATTCAAATGTTGTACATGAAAAAAATTGAACTGAAAGCAAAGCAGAAAAAAAAAAGAAAAAAGTTAGCCAGAGACGTATTTTAATGGAGGTTTAACTGCTGCCGCTACTGCTGTTAAGAGGGAGAAGAAGAAGAAGAAGCTGAAGACATCAGAGCGCCCACACAATATTGGCTGAAGAAGGAGGAGAGGAAAACAAAGAAGAATAAAAATAAGAAGAAGAAGACGGACAAGGAAGATGGTGAAGAAGACGAAGACCAAAGAAAAAAAAGTTGAAGAAAGCCGAAGTA